TAAAATTGATCTATCATTAGGAAAAAGAATACAAAAAAAGTGCACAAATCGGAAATTTGTTTATTGCTTTCTCAATATTTGAAAAAATTATTTAAAAAATTTTTGATATTAATATCAATAATTTATTAACTAAATTAATATCAATAAAAGCAATAGAAGTTTCAGCGCGGTAGTTAAGCGCAATAGATTTATTATATATTTCTCATTTATGAAATATATATATGTATATTATATATATATATATATATATATATATATATATATATATTATAATCAATATATATCAAAATTACAATGTTAATAGATGTAATCGGGAATGTTTAGGCCAATTTCTGGTCAAATATTAGTATCTGTTTCATTTTTTAAATTTTGGATTCCTTATAGAGATTCCTTTTGTGAGCTATATGGTATATTTCGATTATTTAACTTACGCCTAACTATACCGCGCTGAAACTTCTATTTCTTTTATTGATATTAAGTTAATTTAATTTATATCACAGAAGTTACTATTTATAAAAAATTATATATTTTTTAAAGTATAATATACCGTTATTATCGTTATTATCGTTATTATTATCAGAAGAGTGTGTAGAACAGTCGTGTTCTATATTATCTTTGTTGCAACTTAATGTGTCAAACCTATTATGTTGCGTGTAATCTTCTATGTAAAAGATAAAATAATAATTATATATTAATAACATACAATTTGAAATAAATTTTGAAATACATGTCACTATCTTGGAAGAAAATCGACAGAACTCAAAAGATACAAGTTTGGAGAAAATGCCTTTTAAAAATTTAATGAAATTTTAATTACTGAAAATTACTGATGTTCAAAAAATTACAATCAATCTTTTTTTATCCTGTTATGATTATTATTGTAAAAAAGAAATTGTACTATTAACTACGTACTATTAAAACGTGGAATGCTATTTAAGTCGTCTTCAGTATTTGGCAATGATTCAGAATTTGAAGTGCAAGTACGTTTTTGGGGGGGCTCTTCACATACATTTTCAAAATTTTCTTCTGAATTATTACATTCAAAGTCACTATTGCTGCTACTTTGTAAATATAAATTTTTTCGTATCTTGAGATTCTGCGCTCACCTTGGGCAAAGCTACCTGATGCAAAACATTTGAAACTATGTAATCAGCTTGATAAAATTAATATTAATAAAAATATTATTAAAAAATAAAATATAAATAAAAATAAAAATAAAATATTAGAAATATTATTAATAAATAAAAATAAAATATTAAAAATATTAATATTAACCCTTAAAGTGCACACGTGGGTCTTTCGTGTCTGACTAAGTCTGACTCCAGTTATCCATGTGTTCATGATTACGGTGTCAAAAAAACGTGTGCACTTTAAGGGTTAAATTAATAAAAATGTTTATAATACTTACGAGCAAATTTTATTATTTCTATTGCAGTTTTTTCCCATTTTAAACTAGGCTGTTTAGATTTCTTTGACCATTGTCTAACCATATTTTTTTGTGTTTTGGGTGGATAAAGACAAAATTTTTGTTCGCCATTTTCAGTAATCCATTCGCAGGGAACCAAATCTATGACTTTTCGTCTATCATTTGTAAAATCATCCTTAAACCATACAATGGCATGCATATGTTGACTCATGCTACAAATGAAGATTATTATAGAGAGAGAGAGAGTAGAGTTATATATCTAAATTAAATCATTAAATTTAAATTGATAAGAGAATGTTTTTTTATTTTTAATCAGTAATAACAGACCGTATAATACTTACATGATATACGTCGATATCAAAAGATGATGATAACTGATAACTAATAATCAATCAAGCAGTGCGGTGATGTTGCGATAAAGTTTCTTTCAAAATAAAATCCGGAAAATATATTATTTATTATATGTAACTATGATACTGACTGTATCGTGCGAAACAATTGAATATGCGTGGTTGTACATACGTTATATTCATAGCATTGAGCTGTTATCGCGGCTGTATGCAATCAAGATTAATAGAAATAAAAAAATATGTCTAAACGTTCAAGTGTTGACCGTGTCCGGAAATATCGGGCATTAAAGAGAATGCGAAATATTTTGTCCGAAAGTGACAATGAACCCGAAGAAATACGTATGTATATAATTAATGTACATTACTCGTAAAAGAGAGGTATATTAAGCTATCTAAATCAAATTATCAAAACACAATAAATTATATATGGAATTAATTTGCTAATTTTTTGCTGCAAAAAATTTTTAATACTTAAAAAAATTAATAATACTATTAAATTATATTAATATATTAATAATTAATAAATTAATTAATACATTAATAAATTAATAATTAATAAATTATATTAATATATTAATAATACTTTTAAAAAAATTAATAATACTAAAATTTTTTGCTATTTATTTGCTACTATTTACTGCTTAAAATATTTTTTTTGCTCCAGCTTTTAAGAAAATACCAATAATAAAACGCGCGACGCTCAAGAGTAAAGTGCATTAAAAAATTAGTTGCTCGCATTATTATAGCATCAGAATATTCCCTGAATTATTTGCTGTCAAGATATCCAAGTCCTGAATTTTTTGTTCGCAAAATAAATTTGAAAATTTATGTTTTATTCATTATACAAGTAAAACATTAATTTTTTAAACTTATTTCGCCAGCAAAAAATTCGGAATTTTGATATCTTGAGAGCAAATAATTCAGGAAATATTCTGATGCTATAATAATGCGAGCAACTAATTTTTTAATGCACTTTACTCTTGAGCGCCGCGTTTTGTTATTGGTATTTTCTTAAATAATATATAATTATAATTTATTGTGTTTTGATGATTTGGCTTAGATAGTTTAATATACCTGCAAAGGAGTTACAGAGAAAAAATTGCAAAAAATTGCATTTTAAAATGCATTTTATTTCATGTTTCACAGAACATAATGATAATGTACAACAAGCTTTAGAACGATCTGAACAATATAATGTTGACGTATCTTCAAGCTGTGCTCTATCCAACGACAACTTCCAACAAACTTCCAGTGACAGCATTTTTGATGCTTCAAGAGAGATAGAAGATTTGTCAAATTCAAGTTCAAATTCAAATAATGAAGATGCACCGTTGATTTTATTTGAAGATTCACGTAATGAATTATTACAAGGAAACATTAATACAAAAATTAGTACGTGGGTCCTTCGAAATGTGACATCATTAACACATAAATGCATAGACGAACTATTACTAATATTGAGAAATGAAGGTCATTTAAGTCTTCCTAAAAGTAGTAAAACTTTATTAGGGACCAACGCAGCAAAAACTAATATTCGTCCAATGTTGAATAGTAACGGAAAATACGGAGAATTCATTTATTTTAATATTAAAGATACCCTTGAAAAAATTATATCTCCCGAAATTTATACCGAGAAAGAGATATTATTAATGATAAACATTGATGGTGCATCCATTCACCAAAATTCGAAAAAACATATTTGGACTGTATTAGGTTTAGTATACCACCGCGAATATGAGGCTAAACCATTTCTTATTGGTTTGCATTATGGTGAGTCAAAACCATTTTCAGTTAATGAGTTTTTAGACGATTTTGTTGGCGAAGTAAATAATTTAATTATAAATGGTGTAAATATCGGGAACTCTCATTACAATTTCAACATTAAAGCTTTTGTGTGCGATACACCTGCGCGTGCGTTTATTAAACGTTGTAAAGGACACGGTGGTTTTTTTGCGTGCGAACGCTGCGAGATAAAAGGAAAGACAGTGCAAGGAAAAAGAGTGTATAAGGGCATACATTATATAGAACGTACGGACGAATCTTTTAGAAATAAGCAACAATTGAAGCATCATTCCACCAAAGAAGTGTCACCATTACTAAACATTATAGGATTAGATATTGTTAAATCAGTTGTACTAGATTCTATGCATCTACTTTGTTTAGGAGTCTCAAAATATTTGTTGCAGGAATTTCTTCATGGTGATCGGCATCATAGAATTGATTTACGTAACGTCACACTTTTGCAAAATTTATTAAATTCCATTTCACGCGATATCCCAATGGAATTTCAAAGAAAAAAATTTGATCTTCTTGATATTGGCAATTGGAAAGCGACTCAATTTAGATTTTTTTTATTGTACTGTAGTGGCTTATTTCTTCGTTCTATATTACCACACGATACCTATCGACATTTTATGCTGCTTTATGCATCATGTCGTATTTTATCAAGTGAAAGATTGGCTTTACAATGTGCTCAATATGCTAAAATTTTGTTACGAAAGTTTGTTAAGTTAATGCCAACTTATTATAATGAAAATTTGCTAACAATTACTATTCACAATTTGATTCATATTGCAGATGACGTCATGCATATGAAAGATCCTTTATTTAAATTTTCGGCATTTACTTTCGAGGATTATATTGGATTCTTAAAAAAACTTATTAGAAATACGCCACATATTATTCCGCAAATAACAAGACGTTTACATGAAATACAAGAAGGACACGACCCATTCATAAAATACCATTATCCATTTTTCTATACTGTTAAAAAACGTACAGATGTGCCGATAGGATATCGTGTGGAAACAACTAGTGATAAAATAATATTGTCTAGTGTTAAAATAAAAAATTTTACATTTACAACTTCTCACCCTAATAATGTCGCAATTATGAAGAATGATGATATTATAATAATAAATAGTATTTTCATCCAATTGATTAATAATATTTCTGTCGGTTCTCCGATAATCGAAGGAAAACAATTAGTATTTTATCGTGACATATTTGATTATCCTATGCCATCACACAAAGTTGGTATAATGTACGTTCGTAAAACTAGCATTAAAAAACAATATTGTGTCAAAGATATTTCAATGAAATGCATTTACACACGACTAAATAACAAGAAAGTAATTATAACATTACTTCATTTATAAAGTAATATTATGTAAAATAAATATTATGTACAATCTAATACTATAACAACATTCTATTAATTATATTAATGATTATTATATAATATAAATATAAAAATAATTTGTTCATCGGTCAATGCGCAGCGACGGAATTGTTGCTCACATGTTGATCTGTGACATACAAAAATTAATATATATGTAAATTATAGCAGCGTTCGAAATACAATTAAATGTTTCAAAAATAATTATTGTATGTATTGAATTTTTTATTTATTTTTCGGATATTTGATTAAAGACTTATACAATTAAAGGGAAGAAAATAGGCGTTAGAGCCAAATGATAAAATGTGGTGATACGATTGCCGAAAAAATTGAATTATAATATGTGAATATTTGAAGTATTTTTTAATATGAATATTTGATATAATTATGTAAGTATCAAATATATGTTAAAGATATATATTTGCGTCGCGGTGAAAAACAACATATTTCGCAATAACGAATAACGAGTAAATGATAGATTACCCACCTTCAAATTGCTCAGCTGATGCTCGACGTCCCCCGGGCCTTCTCTTCCTCTCAGTACATCGGCGGCTGTTTGTGACCACACACAATGACTCATTAAAAAACACGTCGTTGTTGATTTGCTTAGCAAAGCGCTTGGAGACACTGGACCAATACTGGACCAATGCTGGGCCTGTGTCGCCAGAACTTGGCCTAATTTGCAGCCTATGCTGGTCCACGTCTGTATTTTATAATGGCTCGTCGTACAGCTCAGCTTTTAATCAGTACTGGCACAAAATTGTCTGCCGACCTTGGCTGCCGATACTGAACCAATGCTGGGCCTGTGTCGCAGCCAGAGCTTGGCCTATTTTGCAGCTTGTGTTGGCCCACGTCTGGATTTTATAATGGCCCGTCGTATGGCCTGGCTTTTAACCAGTATTGGCACAAGATTGCCTGCCGACTCTTGGTTGTCGATGCTGGACCAGTGCTGGGCCAGTTAAACAACGTCGGCAATTTCTACGTGGGATGTGGGACAAACGAAAAGACAATTAGGCACAAGAGTAAATGAACATAAAAATAATATCAGATTAGATTCTGCAAGACACTCGGTGGTTTCTGACCATATCGTAAAGTTTACACATATTTTTAATTGGAACGAAACAAAAATCTTAGACTACGAAAAGAATTATTATAAAAGGTTGATATCGGAAATAATACACATTAAAGAAGAAAAAAACAGTATTAACTTAAAAAAGGACACCGAGCGTCTTGACGGATCTTATTTTGATATTTTAGAAAAATTGTCTATGTCATCATAGCATAGAGGTATATATACAGCGCTCTGACATTGCGATTTACAGATATTGATTAGCTTCGCAAAAAGTACACATTGTGACAAGGTTATTTAAAAAGAAATATTTTATCGTCTCGACACAGACGTAAGTAATCACTATTTTTAAAAAAATCTAACAATTAATATTCGGGCTGACACATCAATTGTTTCACAGCATAATACATACTATAACATCATGAACTACAGAAATCTGATGTTCGATAGTAAGCGATTTATCTCAAGTCAACAAGCATGAAATTTGATACTGCGTTTTTCACATTATAAGCCGATAGATTTTATATTTATAATATGTTCGGACTTACCAAACGATTTAATTCTTGACTTATTAACATAGCGATAATGATATTGAAAAAGACTGTCGTACAGCCGAAACGTTTATCAGTTGTAATATTATTTTATGACATATAATAAAAAATTTAATTAACGTCTTATTAGCTCGTTAAGTTGATCTTTTAATTTATTACATATTTTAATTTTAGACGAGCCAAAGTTTATTGTATTAGATATATTTAATTTTTTTATTTTTTGCCAGAGGTACTGCCGACGGTGCTGCTTGGGATCCGAGCAGCATGGAGAGACGATCTGCAGGCGACCGCAGCGGAGCTGGTGTACGGCCAGACGCTGAGGATCCCAGGGCAATTCCTGGGCCGACGGCCTGCGAGCAACAAGGACGACGCGACCGACTTCGTGAGGACGCTGCGGGAGCAGTTTAAAAAGCTGCGACCAGTTGACGGTACCCGACACGGGGAGCGACAGCCGTTCATCTACAAGGACCTGGCGACGGCCGAACAGGTGTTCGTGCGACACGAGGGGCCCAAAAAGATGCTGCAGGCGCCGTACGAGGGGCCGTACGCAGTGGTCAGCCAAGGCAGCAAAGTCTTTGTCGTGCGTATGCACGGCAAAGAGAAAACTGTCTCAGTAGACAGGCTAAAACCCGCTTATATTTTACAGCCCGAAGCAGAAGATAGCAGCTCGGCAGAGTCGGCGACACGGAGCCGAGAGGGTGCGGTCGACGGACGGACGGCGCGAGACCAGGACACCGAGGTCGAGCGGCGAGGCGCGCGAGAGAACGCGAGGCCGCTGCCCCGAGAAAGCGAGAAAACGACGAGAGCGGGAAGAAAGGTCCGATTCCCGAGTCGATTCCAGGCGGGCCTGTAACACCGAGGAACCAGGATGTGCAGTGCGATTTCTCACGGCTTCGCGTCGCACGAACACCTGTTCGGCCGTCGCTCCCCGTGTCGGGTACCGTCAACTGGTCGCAGCTTTTTAAACTGCTCCCGCAGCGTCCTCACGAAGTCGGTCGCGTCGTCCTTGTTGCTCGCAGGCCGTCGGCCCAGGAATTGCCCTGGGATCCTCAGCGTCTGGCCGTACACCAGCTCCGCTGCGGTCGCCTGCAGGTCGTCTCTCCATGCTGCTCGGATCCCAAGCAGCACCGTCGGCAGTACCTCTGGTCCAGCGATCTTTCTGCTGACATTTGATGGCCGCTTTGAGCTGGCGATGGAACCGCTCGACCATTCCGTTTGCCTGCGGGTGGTACACTGTCGTCTTCAGCTGCTGCACTCCTGTCAGCTCGCTCAGCCGCCGAAAAAGATGGGACTCGAACTGGCGCCCCTGGTCCGTTGTTATCCGCACGGGCGCCCCGAATCGGCAAATCCATCCTTCGTAGAATAACCTTGCGACCGTCTCCGCCTCCTGATCTCGAAGTGCGAACGCCTCCGGCCACCGTGTGAAGCGGTCCACGCACGTGAGACAATATCGCATGCCCTCCGAGACCGGCATCACGATTATGTCCAGGTGGATGTGTTCAAATCTGTTGGATGGAACAGCAAATTTTCCCAAGGGTGCCGAGACGTGTCGAGAGATCTTCGATCGTTGACAGGGCACGCATGCACGTGCCCAGCTGCGGCAGTCAACGTTCATCGACGGCCAGACGTAGCGCTGCGCCACGAGTCTGCCCGTCGCCTTGATTCCTGGGTGTGCCAGGTTGTGCACCAGATTAAATGCGGCCCGCCAAAAGGGCCTTGTCAGGAACGGCCGCGGTGTCGGTGTCGTCGTGTTACAGTAAACTTGTATCCCCGTTCCGGGAATCTGCACTTTTTCGAGCTTCAATCAGGTCTCCCGCCGTGTGTAGTTGTCGAGCTCTTCGTCAGTCTCCTGCGACTCCGCCAGTGCAGCGTAGTCCAAGGGAGAATGTAGCTCTTCGACTCGAGACAACGCATCCGCCACGATGTTCTCCTCGCCTGTCACGTACCGAATGTCGGTTGAAAACTGCCCGATAAAGTCCAAGTGGCGGAACTGGCGCGGCGTGCTCTTCTCCGGTCTTTGTCGAAAGGCGTAGATCAGTAGTTTGTGATCCGTGTAAATTACGAACGCGCGTGCCTCCAGCATGTATCGGAAGTGCTTGACCGTCAGGTAGATAGCCAGCAGTTCCCTGTCGAACGCGCTGTACTTCTCTTCGGCTGGGCTTAGCTTCTTCGAGAAGAATCTGGTGGTGCGCTCGCACCAGATCTATCGTCGTGAAGATCTCTTTTCCTCCGAGGGCTTGCGCAAAGTCCTGAATATAACGCACAGGATATCGGTCCGGGATCGTCCTCGCGTTCAGCGCTCTATAGTCGCCGCAAGGTCGCCACTCTTCGCCCTTTTTCGGCACCATGTGTAAGGGCGCCGACCAACTGCTCTTGGAAGGTCGCGCGATTCCGGCTTCCACCATTCGACGGAATTGCGGCTGCAAGTCGATCCGGAGCGAGTCTCCGTGGTCTGCACGCGACAGGCGATCCCGGCGTCGTCTCAATAACATGTCGCGTGGCGTGAATCGCTTCTCTTATCTGTCCTCCCGGCCTCGTGATGTCCGCATATTCTTCTAATAACCGGTGGTATGGTGTCTTCCCCGTGATTGTTTTCACCTGAAGCACGTTGCATGGGACACAACGCCCACGTGCGGTCAAAGTCGTCAGCTGGTCGACGAGGCGAGAATTGCGCAAATCCACGAGGAGGCCATAATGCGCAAGAAAATCGGCGCCGATTATTGGCCTTGACACGTCCGCGATAACGAATCTCCATGTGAACGCCCGTCGTAACCCGAAATTTAGCGTCATGTTCTCCGTTCCATACGTAAAAATTGGTGTGCCGTTGGCAGCCGATAACTCATAGGTTCTCTGTCGTGGACCTCGAACCATCTTTCGAGGAAACACGCAGAGATCCGCGCCCGTGTCAATTAAAAATTTCGTCTTTGTATTTGCGTCAGTCACGAATAAGCGGCGCGCACTGTGTCTCGGGTCGCTCGCCGCCTCTAACGACCCGCTCCTGCGTTTCCCTGCAGTTGCATCGAGCAGGGTGCTCTGCACTGTCGTGCTTCCACTCCGAACCGCCAATGGTACCAGCATACGCCGCTGACTGGCGGACCACGGCTGCTGGATCGCGCTCGCGGACGCGAACGCGAACGCGAACGAGGTCGCGAACGACGTCGATCATCTTCTCGGCATCGATTATCTCCGATCGCTTTAATTGACTTACGGATAGCCGTCAGTTGTTCCGCCATCTCTTGCTGCATTGCAAGCCGCGCCTGTGCCAGTCGCATCTCCAACCTGGCTTCCTGTGTCGCAATCGGGGCTGCCTGCATCGCGATCGGGGCCGCCCGCTGCATCTGCACACGCGGCTGCTCGAACGCCCGCGCCTTTGTCTTCACGCGCGAACCGACCACTCCGTCGTTTCGCGTCACAAGCATGTCGAGTCGTTTTTGCACACACTGCTGGTCATTCTCACTCTCGTGTACGATCGGACAGATCGTCTCACTCGCCGAAAATGTAAAAAAAAAGAAATGCACTGCTCTCTCACGCGAGCACAAAAAAAAATCGCGAATTCCCGTTCGTTCGCGATCACGTCGGGACGTCACCACTTTGGTTATCTCGTGCGTTACGTTCGTCTCGCGCGGCGCGATTACTTAGGAAGTACGATACGAGTCGGGAATTAATAACGTGAGGCAGTAATTGCAATTAACAAAATATATTCTTAAACACAAACTTTAAATGTCGATACATGTATGTGAAACCGCTCGGATTTATAAGGGGCGTCCGTACGCGGCAACTGTCGAAAACGGAATCTCTCGCATGTAAAAATGTTCTGCCTATATTTTGCCTCAAAACGCCCTTCGAGAGGGTTCGCGAATTTTTTGTCTGTTTTACTTGCTTTGTTTCTTAATCTTGATATTTGTCTCTATCTGTGTGCAATATTCGGTGCTACGCGGAGTAATTATAGTTAGTGCGCGGACGCGAGTGTCAAGTTTTAGGACGGCACAGGAAAAAAAAGAAAATAAAGAAAGTTCACGGCACACAATATATTTTACAAATAATTATACAGTACAAAAGAAATGCTCTAATGCAAGTGAACTGCAATTAGAAGCGTGCAATGATTGCCGGAAGTGCAATCCAACGACAAAATCGATCTCCCGCGAGAAGTGCGACGAAAATCGAGAAGAGAGAAAGTAACGATGTCTGTACGCGCGAACGACTGTACGACGATAGATCCGTTCGACAAGAGAGAGCGTGAACCAACGTGATTGTTTTCTACCGACCTTCGAGAGAGTTCCGAGGTAAGGAACACCGTGTTTGTGTTCCTTCCACATAATGATAGAATCCTCTCGAATGTCGGAGGGCAAAATCACTTGTTGTCGTCGGTTTTATGTTTGTTACGATACGGTTACCTGTCACCGTTTAAAACGACAGGTATTGCGAGCGTTAAAGACGCGCGCGGTCTTGCGATATGGCGGGGCGCGTTCGCTCGCGATTGGCGCACGGAGATTTAGTGCGAATCGTCGCGCCAAATTCGAGCGGCTATTTTCAGCGCAGTTAGCTGCGCTTGTTGCAAGGCGCAGAATGCACTCCGAGATGCATTCACACACACACACACACACCCACACACACACACACACACACTCTCTCTCTCTCTCTCTCTCTCTCTCTCTCTCTCTCTCTCTCTCTCTCTCTCTCTCTCTCTCTCTCTCTGTCTCTCCAATCCGCAACAATCTGTCTCGTCTGTTATGTTTATTTCTATTTATTTATGTCTCGGTGACCGTATTCGTATACGTGTTTATCGCTCGATTATTTTAGGGAAGTATGTGACGATGTAATCGCCACAGTACGTTTAATATAAATTTCAAAAATTGTATACAAAAAACATTTTAATAAATATATAGGTACTTTATGCAGAAATAATAATTTTCTCCTACAAGTTATTTTTAGTGTAATTGCAATATAATTAGATAAACAGTTATTAAATATAAAAAAAAAATAAAGACAGTACGGCGCTGTATTAAAGCCATTATTGGCAATGAATATGGGCATAATAAATTAACCATTAATGGCTCAACATTGTTCACCATGTTTGGCCGCGTAATTATCCTTTGATGGACCGAAGTTATCATTCCATAATATTTCCATTGATAGGCCAGTTATGGTTACTATTATCGCGCCAATATAACCTGGTAGCCAATTTTGGGCCAATATTAGGCCAATTGTTAACCAATTAATGAAAGGTGAATACCCAAATAGGATAAAATGTAGATTATTTTATATTTAATTAGAATATTGTAAATATGTTATAATTAACGATAAGTTAACGCCCAAAATTTAGTGATATAAATATATTATATTTTATTTAGGGTAAATTTTATTTGCAATTTTAAATTAATATTTCAAAACGATAGGCGAATGTCTAAATATAGATAGTATTATTTGATATAATATATTGTAAAAAGCGGATAAATACGATTTCGACGATTTATATATGTCTAAACATTATTTGTTATAATAAATACATATGAGTAAGTTGGATGAATGAAAAAGAAGTTAAATAAAGTAAAATGAGAACCTCCCCCAGAAATAGTTACGGCGAAGTAAAATAATCTTTGATAGAATGTGCGAGAATAAATAAACCATAATACCAATAAACATAAATATTGGTCAATTAAAAATTTACGTAACAGAAAGTGATTTTTATAATGCCCATATCAAAAACGTCACATAAAAGAAGGAAAATTTTAAATATACATAAGATATAAAGTTTGGCGTGCTAATAATAATTTTTTGACATAGTAATTAATTTTTGAGCATTGCTATAATTTAGATTTTATATTTGTATGTTACATTTATGTTATATGTTGATTTTATGTTTTTATGTTACAGACAACCTAAAATTCAAGAGTGCCGTTAAAAGTATCGCGCGTGTTAATCAACGGATCTTAACAACCTGAGAGGACGAGGAGGCCTGAGGAAGGCGTCAGGCATTGGCAGAGCAACCCTAAGGTATATATTTTTATATTAATTTATTGTATTTGTTTATTAAGTATAAATCATATTAATTTCATTTATTAATTGAATAATTTAAACAAGAGAAAAAACTAAAGATATATAAATTTTTAAGTAATTATATAAATATATAAATCCTATTTAAAATTTCTGCTTAAAAATTGTTCTTTAATTTATAAAATTATTGTATATTTACATATAGTATTATAGGATTCTAACAGAGACACTCTTTATGATTTCAATCTGAATGTATTTCGGATCTCATTTACAAAGTTTCGGAGATTACATGCTCGCTCACTCGTCACCTTGTTCGCGGGTCTATACTCTTATTTATTTTCGCTTAGTGCTCGCTTGATCGACAGACTCATTCGACGTTCGAATAATGACTGCCATGTCCTTCGCATTCGCTGTTATGATCGCGCCTTACATACCTAAATTCACACCCGTAACAAGTGGGGTCCAATGCCCGAATTTGCATAGATACAATTGTTTTCTTTTCAAATCCCACACTCGGCCCTCCTGACTAATTATTCGCCCCGAATAATAATTAGTCAATTACATCCTTATCTTTTAATCCTACACTCGGCCTACCTGACCAATTATTCACCTCGAATGATTGCTACACACTCGACCAGGGTTTCATGAATTCGGCGCAAGTACTAGTGCAACCCGGACCCTCTCCTGGGTTTGCTCGTTTAACATCATATGTATCGTTACATTTTACTTTTGTTACACAATACGGTCCTAAATACTTCGCGCGCAGCTTCCGTCCTGGGCACATTTGAGTGCGTTTAATCGCGACTAA